GCGTATAAATTTTTGTTTGAACGATTTTAGAATTCTAAATTTAATTTTTTTTTTTCGATTATTTTCTCAATCGATAAACAGATCGTTTTATTTTTATCAACCTGAGGATCTCTAGGAGGCGCTCTGATGCGAACAATGCATCGTCCCATTCGTCCTGTCCAACGTATCCATCCAACGGAATTTCTGATAGTGCGATTGCATCCTGCGAAACAAATTTTAATCCTGTTTTAATCCTTTGCGCAACAAAATTTAACCGGCTAAAATTGTCACTGCAACAGGAGAAACGTTGCAAAATTGTTTATCGTGTTGCGTGCATGAAATTGAAAAATATCGTTTGAAATTCGAATGAGAAAACTGACAAATGTAAAACGTAACATCTAATTATTTATTCTGTTGCGCACATGTTATTTTTTTTTCGAAAACATTGTTTTTTAACGAAATAAAATTTACTTTTACTCGTTGCGATGATATGAAAAAAAAAATATGCTTTGTATTTTTCAAACAAATTTTTAAATCTTTAACGCCATGCGATGTCATTTCGCAAGAAGATGCAAAGAAAGGATTAAAGAAACTTGAATATAATTGCTTTTTCTTTTTTGTAATGTTATCAATTGTTTGTGCGATATAAGTATTATTTTTAGTCGTTCGCAGAAACAAAAGAATCAAGCAAATATGCTTGATTCCACAAAAGGAATTGTAAAGTAGCAGTTAAGTGGATTAAAGTCAAACGGGGAAGGGATAGTCGTAGTAAAGCGAATTTAAGCGTAGTTAAGCAGTTCTCTTTCGTAAATTTCTCTGTAACATTTCAACAACAGTTCAAAGAAACGTAAAAAAAACTCGTTAATATACGTTTCCTTTTAATAATAGAGAACAACTTCTCGCGATTGAAAAAAAAAAAAAAAAAAGAACAAGATTTATTGTTATACGTCTGCAATAATCAAAATCATTTCAATTCAAATTCAAACCTATCAAAAAGATGAATTTCTAAATTATTTTAAACTATATATATCAAATTTACACAATGATCCTCGCAATTAATATTAATCTCGATTAAAAATCCTCCAACTTTTAGAAATTCAAAAATATCAAACAATCACAGCATAGTCTTTAATAAATAAAAATCTTTCCCGACAATGGCTATTAATTAATTTCAGAATTATTTGGAAAATTATAAAAGTTATCAAATCAAAAACCCCGTTACTTTCAAAAACCTAAAAAAATGTCGAACGATCCTTTAGAAAAGATAGAAAAAAATATTATTTCCTCGCAAATGAATCTATCGTTCCAAAAACCGCATCGTCGCGTGTTCCTAAAACTCGTATAATATAATCTTTAATGAGCGAGGATCTTTCCCCCACGCAACGGTCGGTAATCCGTAATACGCGTTTCGAATACGGCATAAAGTCAAAGAAGCGAATCGTTAGAGCGGGAAAAGCTACTGTATCGGCCGGTGGCAGGCGGGCGTAATTCACGGTTATATCGTTACCCGCACAACGCTTCCATTGTATCGCGCAAATAATACACCGGCCGTATCGCATCCGCGCCACGAATATTGTTAGGACAATCGCGCAAACAGGCAGGCTTAACGTTTTGCCCGTCGTCGCTCGAATGTCGTATTAAGTACTGCGCACCGAGCCAACCAATCGAGTCGCGTCACAATTTAGAATAAACCGCGCATCGCCCCTCCCCTCTCCTCGCGTCACCCATTTCTTTCCCCCGGCCGATATCAAATTTTCACAAATCTCGTAAAATTTCGTCACCGAAACACCGCTATTAATATTCGATTATCACCGTTGAACACCGTTTAATCCGACCGATATTAAGATAAACTAAATTTATAAACGGGTCGATAAGCGGAATCGCGTTATCGTCACCAAAATAACGGGGGAATTGTTTTCACAGCGTAACTGCTAATATCGTCACTTGAACGGCTCGTTAATTAAACGGATATCCTCTCTCTCTCTCTCTTCCCCCTCCACTCGGTCCCTCGT